GTTCAAAAATGGCAGATGAAATTCAACGGGGACAAATGTAAAGTACTAGTATAGGATATGTAAAACAGTTAACAGATAAACAACGATGCCATTGAGAAATCCGACTGCGAAAGAGATTTAAGTAATGATAAGTAGGAACCTTAAGCCAAGTAAACAATGTGTTTTTGCTCAGAATAAAGCTAATAAAGAACTTGGGTTCATAAAGGAGTGTTAGTTACAAGACTAGCGAGGTCATCCTAAACTGTATCTTGTGCTTGGAGACCACACACCTGGGTTAGCACTTGATACCCGGGGCACTGACTGTATTCAGAGATAGTGAAGAAAACAAATTAAGCGAGATAGTAGTGACTAGTAACGATGTTAGTTAGCAAATAGACAAACTAAAGCCTAATAAGTCACTAGGTCCCGATGAGATATTTGCCAGAGTATTAAAGGAATGTAAGGAAGAGGTTAGTATGCCCTTAGCAAAGTTGTTTAACATGTCCTAAACAGGTGTAGTACCAGAATCCTGGAGGATAGCGAATGTAATACCGATTTTCAAGAAGGATATATCACTATCCTCTAACTACTGCCCAATCAGTCTAACACCAATAGTAAGCAAATTACTGGAAGCAATCATTTCAAACTGATTCGAAATCACCTGAAGCACCTATTGATCAATGATTCCCAGCATGGCTTCACAAGGGACGTTCTTCTAACTAATCTATTAACATTCTTTTCATCAGTTTTCGAATCGTGGACGAGGGCACAATTATGATGTGGTATATCTCGAATTTAGCAAAGCTCTTCGACAGAGTCCCCACGAAAGACTAATTAGAAAGGTAGAAGCTCATGGCATCAAAGGTAACATCCTTAAATGGATTAGGCGTGGTTACAGGACAGGAAACAGCGTGAGCATTACTGCACTAAGTCCCATTGGAGCAACGTCACAAGTGGAGTTCCCAAGGCTCAATACGGACCATTTATTTATTATATACATAAACGACATAGATATCGGCATAGACAGCAACATAAGTAAATTTGCTGATGACACTAAAATAGGACGTGTTATTAAATCTGACGAGGACTCAGCAAAACTACAGGAAGATCTAAAAAATTTTCGAATGGTCTGAAAATGGCAGATGAAATTCAACTTGGACAAATGTAAAGTACTCAGTATAGGAGATGTAAACAGGAAACCAGATACCAGATGAACAACGATGCCATAGAGAAATCCGACTGTGAGAGAGATTTAGGAGTAATGATAAGTAGGAACCCTAAGCCAAGTAAACAATGTGTTTTTGCTCCAAACAAGACTAATAAAGTACTTGGGTTCATACAAAGTGTTAGTTACAAGACTAGCGGTCATCCTAAACTGTATCTTGCTCATGTGAGACCACACCTGGATTACGAGTTCAGTTCTGGTCACCGATACAGAATGGATATAGAATCCTTGGAAAGAATTCAGGAGAATGACAAGACTAATCCCGGGCATTAGGAACCTTGAATATAGAGACAGGTTAAAGCATCTTAATTTGCACTCCCTCGAGAGACGTAGAGCGAGGGCGAACTGATAGAGGTGTATAAATGGAAGTCAGGGCTAAAAAAGGGGACATTACATAGGTACTCAAACTATCCAACCAGGAGCGAACTCATAACAATGGTTTTAAATTTGAGAAATTTAGATTTAGGCGCGAAATAGGTAAACACTGGTTTGGAAACAGAGCAGTGGATGAATGGAACAAGTTACCAAATATCATCATTAACTCGAATATGCTGGATAGCTCCAAACATAGGTTGGAAGCTTATATGAGCAATAGGGGTTGGGTATAAACCGGACTGCCCAGTATGGGCCAATAGCCCCACTGCAGTTTCCACCATTCTTATGTTCTTATGTTCTTATGTTAAAATGTACAGTTTGATGTCTGATGTCTTCTGGAACTTTGATTAAGTGTTCACGATCTCTCCTACAGTGCGTGTTTGTGTGTGTGTGTGTGTGTGTGTAATAATAATAATAATAATAATAATAATAATAATAATAATAATTAACGGTTTATTATTAAGATGACATGGCAGCGAGCTGAAAATATACAATGAACAGAGGTGATAGGTTACATATGGTGGAAGCGGGGGTTGAGTCACTTGATTGACAAAAGCTTTCAATACAAAATAAAGAAACAAAGAGTCAACATATAGATTAACTATAGATCTGGTAATGTTTGAGCTGGACTTGTAAACATTCTTGTGATCTGATGTTGGCGCCGACTGTCTGGATGGCCGTTGCGTCATACCTGGGTGTTAATCCGCTACCTCACTACAGCTGCAGATGCACCATGTGGTCCGGTAGGTCCTCCAGCTCAACCAAAGGTGTTGGAGAAGGTTCTTCTTCCCATGTGATGAAGTTAGAATTCATAGTTCCTCACCTGGGTGGAGTAGGGAGTCATCATTTCTCTCCTGATGTGGTAGGAGTCTTTCTTTGCTTCACATCTAGTGTTGGTGGTGGCGAGTGTACAGTGGACAGAGTGTGTCTGGTCAGGTCAGGTCAACATTGACCGCTAAGCTGGTGCCACTCTAACAGTTGTCATTTTATTTCACCTCATGTCACTAATTTACCTAAGACACCTCACCTCATCTCACTACCCTCCTCCAGTCATCTCACCTCACCACCCCTCACCGTCACCTCACATGATGTAACTCATAAAACTAAATATCACCATTAATAGCCAAGATGAAGTTCACTACATTATATTATTATCATTAACCACTTGAAGATTAAACACCCAAGCTAACCTAACCTAACCTATTGCTAACCTAACCTAGCCAAACTGAACCTAACCTAGCCAAACTGAACCTAACCTAGCCAAACTGAACCTAACCTAGCCAAACTGAAACCTAACCTAACCCAACCGAACACTAATCTAACCTAACCCAGCCTGGCCAAACTCATCCTAAACTAACCTAAGCTAACATAACCTAACTTAACCTATAACCAAACCTATCCTACCCTACCTAACTTAACTCTAACCTAACCTAACCTCTCTAGATATCATAAGGGAAATTGATCATCAGGTGAAATAAACTTCACTATCTAATTATTATGTGACCCATTAAAAGGTAAATTTCTTAAGCTTTCACACAGGTAAACCCTTTAAAGACTGGGGTATAAAGGTGCGCTGTACTCCCTGTCATTTCCCCCAGACGGTGTAGTAACATTAAGCACTCAGCTTCATGGTGGCTCAGTAATAAATTCATGCTGAAAATCCGGCCCAGAATAGCTACGAGTGTTGGGAAAAACAGCATTAGAGGAGGGGGCGGTTCCCTAAAAAATATAAAAATATATAAAGAGAGAAAGAGAGAGTATTGACCACTTGTAAAGAAAATAGAGCCAATTATTTTTATAGTTACTCGAGTCAGTCGCTATGATAGTATGTATGGATACACACACAACACATTAATACACACGACCGCAATACATACATACACGCACACACACACACGAACGCAAAACATACACAGTCCCGTCATACTAGTCGTCACTAGTTCTCACCATTAACAATACACCATAAACCAGTTCTTTTCATCGTGTTGACTTACATGTGTTGTGGTGCAGTCGGTGGTCAAGCAGGCTTCAACACTAATGGTCCCAGTTATTATAGTCATGTCAGCCAGGTCAGGTTAGCTTGGGGGGCTTTTAGGGAGTGCGGACCATTTCATCCGGGGCCGTTGTTGTGAGGCGAGGCGAGGTGTGTGTGTGCCTTCACTCAAGGTCTCGTGTTGACCATAACACGCAATATTAACAATAAGTGCTGAACGGGAAGTATCTTGTTGCAGCTTCTGTCCACGCCCAGGTCGTGGTTCACCAGCGCTGGTAACAGTAAAGCGCGCTAATTTAGGCAGAAGGCGGGCGTGGCCTCTGTGAGGATGTCATTTTATGGTGGTGAGGGCGGGGGGTTGGGGGGACCGCCAGGCGGTGAGCTGCTCGCACTGGAGTTGTTCTAGACAGGGGCCCCCTATAAACTCACAGCACCTCAGTGTCTTACATCACACCCCTAACAAGACTCTCCTGGGCATTAAATTTGTAGATGATCTTCATTAATGTGTCGACACAATATACGTCATGGCGGGGGAGAGGCCAAACTAACTCCAGGAACCGTATAAGAATTTTCAGGGTAAAATCACGAGTTAGGTTAGGTTAGGTTAGGGTCTGGGATCAGTGAGTCCCACACTTCTCGAACAACCACGTGTACCAAATTTCGCCTCAGATGGTTCACTGTTCTGGGAAGAAGTGGAAGACATATATACAGTACACAAGAACATAAAAATAGAGAAAACTGCTGCGGGCCTATTGGCCCATACTGAGCAGTCCCATTTACACCCAACCCCTATTGCTAAGTTTGAAGCTACCCAGCATATTCGAGTTAATGATGATGTTTGGTAACTTGTTCCACTCGCCCACTACTCTATTTCCAAACCAGTGTTTACCCTGTCTCTGTACTCAAGGTTCCTAATGCCCGGGATAAGTCTTGTTATTCTCCTCTGAATTCTTTCTAAGGATTCTATATCCATTCTGCAATACGGTGACCAGAATTGAACTGCGTATGACCAGAATTGAACTTACCTACACTCAACACCAAGAAGTTGTTCAGGGTTTCTATCATAAAACAGACAAAGGTCACTAAAAACCGATCATTGATTAAGTACTAGTTACAGTCAAAACCATCTCTCACTCAAGAAAAAAAAATATCAGTCAGGTCATGAGAGGCAGACATTGGGGTGACTATACTAAAACCATAAAAATCCCGAGCGAGGGTTCAGAGAGAGACAGAGACAGACGAAAATTACCGACCAACTCATTAATGATTCACAAAAACACATCTATATCCCGTAAAACACAGTACCAGCCCTGGCAGCTAAATATATCAATAATCCACGTATCCAAAAAGAATTACAGAGTTATAGCTGACACGAGTCTGCTAAAATACTGCACGAACAATATCCTCTGAAATATTAAAACCACTTACTATCCTTGTTATCATGGGTGCCAGCTTATGGTTCAATCGATGTAGTTGATGGTGGCGGGGATGTGTCTGTGATGGCGAGGTTGTGATTGTGGCGAGGATGTGTCTGTGATGGCGAGGTTGTGATGGTGGCGAGGATGTGCCTGTGATGGCGAGGTTGTGATTGTGGCGAGATGTGTCTGATGGCGAGGATGGTGTTGTGTCTTTGATGGCGGGTTGTGATTGGCGAGGATGTGTCTGTGATGGCGAGGTTGTGGTGGCGGAGGATGTGTCTGTGATGGCGAGGTTGTGATGGTGGCGAGGATGTGTTTGTGATGGCGAGGTTGTGATTGTGGCGAGGATGTGTCTTTGATGGCGAGGTTGTGATGGTGGCGAGATGTGTCTGTGATGGCGAGGTTGTGATTGTGGCGAGGATGTGTGTCTGTGATGGCGGGTTATGATTGTGGCGAGGATGTGTCTGTGATGGCGAGGTTGTGATTGTGGCGAGGATGTGTCTGTGATGGCGAGGTTGTGATTGTGGCGAGGATGTGTCTGTGATGGCGGGGTAGTGATTGTGGCGAGGATGTGTCTGTGATGGCGAGGTTGTGATTGTGGCGAGGATGTGTCTGTGATGGCGAGGTTGTGATTGTGGCGAGGATGTGTCTGTGATGGCGGGTTATGATTGTGGCGAGGATGTGTCTGTGATGGCGAGGTTGTGATTGTGGCGAGGATGTGTCTGTGATGGCAGGTTGTGATTTGTGGCGGATGTGTCTGTGATGGCGAGGTTGTGATTGTGGCGAGGATGTGTCTGTGATGGCGAGGATGTGTCTGTGATGGCGGGGTTATGATTGTGGCGAGGATGTGTCTGTGATGGCGAGGTTGTGATTGTGGCGAGGATGTGTCTGTGATGGCGGGGTTATGATTGTGGCGAGGATGTGTCTGTGATGGCGAGGTTGTGCCGGAGTTTATACAAATTTTTTTTGTCTCTTAAGAACTACACAGACGACACGGTTGCCATGCTCCCCCCACCAGCAACAACCATTAAACTTAATTAATCCACACAAATAATCTTACTTTTTCCTTTAATCAATGTCGTACTCTGTAAAAACTGGAGCATACACCTGCTAGTTATATAACAGCACGCGGTAACTACCCACACCACTTTTAAAACACACCGGGTCATTGTAAAACTAATTAAAATCGGTACAGTGATTCTAGTCCTCCTTCACACACACACACACACACACACACACACCTTGTACATCTTTTCTTGGGGATTACCTAAGACTCGCCCACCTGTCAAAATGTATTAGTACCTTCAACCGTTCGCGGGCAAAAAACACCTCCACTTAATATTTACATTTACAACAATCCTCCCAAATACCCTAAGTGTTCGATTTACATCATAAAATATCCAAGGCCGTGGGACTGGAGGGAGAGAGGGAGGTAGGGAGGGAGGGAGGGAGGGAGGTAGAGAGGGAGGGAGGGAGAGAAGGTTAGTTCCCCTCTCTCTACCTTCCGACCCATCGCCTCCACTAGGTAGTTCCGCTCCCTCGCACATGATGAACAAGACAAGTGTTAGACAAGGTACTTCTGAAATCCTGGCTAAGTCTTTGCCAGCCCCTTCCCCCTCGCCCCCCCTCCCGCGAATCCGTTTCCCCTACACACACAGGGGGCCGTAGGTGACATGAAGGTCAATGTTAACAGAGATAGAGAGTAACTCCCTTCCCCCTACCCTCCCTCCCTCCCTCCAGTGCCACTCACTCGTCCCCTACCACTTTCACTTACCTCACCCTCGTGCTGCCCCACACACGCACAAACATGCCGAGTCACCGAACAACAGAGTCAGGTTACCCTATTATGCAGTAAGACACACAGATGCACGGACACCTTAACCCTTTGAGGACGATGATTTGATCCTTTGATTTAGCCCTAAGAGAACGAGGCTTTAAAAGGCATAAAACTCTCATGCCTCCTACACAGTGATCGCAGCATCCTGACACGTAACCTCCAAGTACAGTTGTGTTCAAAATTCCCACGACACTTGACATTACCTGACATTTAATTCGTGGTAGCGTGTGATGGACGTTTTTACCTCAAATAAGTCAGAATTACTTGAAAAAAATACTCATCATATCACCTTCATCTTTAAGACTTATATAATGCTAAATATTGCTAAAAGTGTCCAGGGAATTTTGTTTGAAACTGTACATAGTATTAATGACTTACTATACTAATACTCCTGAAAATTCTGGAATGAGTATTTAACTGTTTTTATCCAATCTATTTAACATTATTGTTATTGTTATCTTTGTATTTGCTTGACTAATTAAACTGTTTCAATATTTAAGAAACAGACAAATACATAAAGTACTCGAGAAAAAATATAATAAACTACAATAATGCAGCTACACAATACAGTCAATAACTACAGCACGTGGTAACAGTAGTATGAGATTATTGTTTTAACTTAAGATACAATGATCCTAAAAAAATACTTGAATCATCTATACAAATTATCTATCTCCATACAGCCCAATACAGTACATAATTCCCAGGTGATGGCGGTATGATGAGGCATTTGTTTTAACTAAGATAAGCGAATTTAAAACCAATTTCGGTATTTACATCTAGTCACATATCCTCTTGTACGACGATAACGTCCATAAAGAACAAAATCTACCATGAAATGAAGAACAAATCATGGACTATTCTTTGTAATGGGGTGAAGTAAGAGGTGTTCATGAGCTGTTCTTCATGTGGTGTAAGAATTGTTCATTATTTATTTTTCATGGTGAGAAAAAGTTATACAGGATAGAGAGAATGCTCGAGTGTGTGGGCAGGTAGGAGGAGGAGAGGGAGGGGGAGGGGGGGCATTGTCGTGTGTCAGAAAGCTAGTGATTAAGTATTCAGTATTTTTCCAGCCAATTACGGCAGTTAACCAGTTAATGAGGCGATTAAGGGTAATTATCATTCAAGTGGACCTTAACTAAAAATGTCTGTCGTTGGTGTGAGTGAGTATGTGTTGTGTCTGTATATACCTGTGTGTGTGTGTGTGTGTGTGTATGTGTGTGTGTGTGTGTGTGTGTGTGTTAGGAAATCTGACCTAACCTGTCTTATTTAACCCATGGTGGAGGCTGATCATGTGTACAGTAGCTAATACAACTATCTGTGCATACTTTGTGGGAAACAATATGAGACCATGGACGATAAATATTGGTATATGAGAGCTGTCACTAGTCACACGTAAAATATCGGAGCATATCGACCTGCACAGATAGTTGTTTTAGCTACTGTACATCACGTGGACCAAAAGTAAACAATAAATAAGCTTCAGCGAACTGGGCTCTGGGGAACCTTCAAAGTTGTACGATTTATGTAACTGTATCATTAACATAACTATAAATTTCTGCCCAAAACTCAATAACTAAGCATCCTGGGTTTTTTTTTTTTGGGGGGGGGGCTTTATCATCATTCTATAGTAACATTAATAGAGTTTCCCGTCCATGTTCACTGTGGAATCTTAACCCAAATGAATCCTTCGTTTCACTGAACCAAAATTAACTTTTAAACAATCTCAAGAGGAGTAAAAGGACTCGTGCCTGACACAACACCAGCCATAACACACCTGAGTCACTATGTATGTATGTATGTATGTATGTATGTATGTAAGAAGTGTTATCTAACGAGCCTTATAAATGGCACAACTCCTTCAACACCAGTCAACTGCGATCACCTGAAAATTAGACACGAAGCTTATTTCACCTGAAGTTTAGCCACCCGGACCTAACCTAACCCCTCAAGTACCGTTAGGGTGGTTAATCTTCAGATGGAATAAGGTTGAGTGTCGCCTGTGAACAAGTTAACATCGTTGCTGGTGTTCAAATGTTCACCTTCTGTGTTCAAGGTTTTTATCGGTCATTAGTGCACATTAACGCCGTAGCCAATTTATTTCATGTGCAGAGTATTAACACAATTTACAAACACACACACACACACACACAGTGAAGTTGTCAAATCCTCCAGTTTTCGTCTCCACCTCCTCCGCCGACTCAAGTCCCTCGGAGTTCCTGCCCCCGAGCTCCTCAGTGTTTACTCAACATTCATGGTTCCCAAGCTCACCTATGCCTCCCCTACCTGGTCTTCCTCCCTAAATGCCACACAACGTAAACAGTGAAAAAGAGGGCATGCAAGATCATTCTCTCCCCTTCCTACTCCACATATCAAGAAGCACTCAACACACTGACCCTCTCGGCTCTCACTGACCATCACCACGACCTCATCTGCAAATTTGGTGAGAAGCTTCTGCACCATCCTCGACACAGGCTCCTACTACCACCTGAGATCCCTCGCCCGAGAATTGCTGTTCAACACCACAACCGCATCCAGCCCAAACGAGCACGAATAAGAATTGCCCAGTCCCAACCATTGTAAAAATTATCAATAACTTGCAATCAACCAGTGTATTCACTCCCAGTCAATCTTACTTTTTGCACTGTCACTATGTTGAAATGCCCTGTAGTTTGAGCTTCTCCCCACCTAGTCATTATATATCATATTTGTATCACTTATGTTACTTGTACTGTATATCATTTGTAAATCAAGAGACCCATTCCTCAATTATGTAACTGTATATTTTCAGCCTTCCGGCTGCCATGCTCTTTCAATAACCCGTTAATTATTATTATTATTATTATTATTATTATTATTATTATTATCATTATTATTATTATTACACACAACTTTAGTTTTGAAAAAAAAATATATAATTTTTGATGTAAATGAACAGTTTCTCTGAATTTTACTTGTGACTTTCTGTGTTGAAAAAATATTGTATACCTGTGCGATGAGGCCAAACTATTATCTCCCTGTTTTAGGACGAGGAGACGGAACAGTTCCGCCTGCTCACAAGAAGTCAACAACTATTCCTCACGTCAGCTGGAACTACAACATTAAGGTCGTAAGCAACAGTACTACGTCCCCACTATGTCGACTGGTTGGGAAGTGGTGAAATAGTTGATATCTCTCAATGTGACGAGTCCCGGGAACAGAGAGAAACGACGTGAGAGCTCATCAAACTTGTTTGTCAGTAGGTGACATAAGGAGAGGGAGATTGTACCATAGGGAGTGACAGTTTGGCAAAAGTTTTCAAAATCTAATTGCTTGGGTTGGATTATTTGTCTATCGGCCACGCTAATTCCGAATATGTTTGAGTTTTTTACATCATTGCATTAGAAGGTTTGTGGATACTTTTGGGTTTGGCATGAAAAACGCGAAAAAACTGTAAATAATAAAGGGACTGGCAATGTGGCACAACCTGTTAAAATCAAGTTATTGAATTGGATTATTCGACTACTGTGTACACTGGTTCATAATATGCTATTGTTTTACAACTCAATGCGCTACAAATTATGCCGATATTTTTGCTGCAAGTCACCACATACGTATATTTCGAAAACCAGGGCCCAATATTACCAACGGCGTGGATAGATTCCGTGGAATGAATTCAGGACATTCCCGCTCATGGAACATTACCAAACTCCGTATATGTGCCAATGGCAGGCCAATGGCAATATTTACAGAGTTTGTTGAGGCTCCCTGGACGGGAATGCCCTGAATTTATTCCACGGAATCTATTCACGCCGTTGGTAATATTCGTCCCAGGACTGATCAACGAATTCAGCCCAAGTAGCTTGACTTGGACAGTTAAGGACAAAATCTCAGTCCGTACTTTTGAATAAAATATTGTTCAATAGGTGGTGATATTGAAGTGCTGAAAGTTGTTTTTTCTGTGTTGTTTTGCAGTTAGTTCAAAGGGCCGCCACCAAGATGGGTCGTCCTAAGATTAGCAACACTCAGCTGCGCCAGGGTAACGATAAGGTGTTCGGGGTTCGGATGCCTCTGCCATCTAACAAGTTGCCTCTGAACAAGGAAGTTGGAAGTGCCCTGGCTTATGAAGCAGAAAACGAGAGGTTAAGGAGAAGAACAAATGCTTTTGATTATATGGATGCCACCAACAAGGTGACTGAGAAGGTACTGGATGTGTATAGGAAGGCCACTGTCCCCACTATCTCTGAAATCAGGGTGAAAATGAGAGTCCACGACCTGTGGAGGATGCGGAGGGAGACGATGATGATGAAGGGAAATGGACAGAAACAGAAAAGGAAGAAAACGAAGAACGGGAAGCTGAAGATGAGGTTCGAGGATATAGCTGAGAAGTTGTTTGATGTGGCAGACGACAGCAAAGTGCACGAACGAGAGAAAAGCTTCCTGGCAGCCCAGAGGAAACCGGGAAGGGAGGGCTGCATTGATGGCGTTGACAAAATTGTGACTGCCAAGCTGAAAGAAGAGAGGGAGAAGGAAGCGAAGAGGGCAAAGAAAAGGGCTGAGGAAGAGAGGAAAACTGAGAAGATGAGGTCAAAGAGTAAGGAGGAGATGGAGAGGATGTCGTGTAAAGTGTCGGCAGTGGATGACAGTGCTCAGGAAGAAGATAGTGATTATAAGGATGTCAATGACAATGAGTTCAAGGCTATGGTCGACAGGAGAGCAAGATCAGAGAAA